CCGTCCAGAGGACCTATACAATTTTTTTCCCTTTGATTTTTTACCTGGATTACTGAGATGCATCAGAGCAGGAAAAACATTAAACATGTTGGGCGGTGGCCCTCGAGGACCAGGATTGCCCACCCCTGATATAGAGACATGCCTGAAAACAAATTCAACACATAACTGAACTTTTAACTCTTCATTAGGCCAGATTACAGCTCTGAGCAGCGGAGGGACCCTTTACTGATGACGTCATCAAACAGGCGGAGCCATGTCTCTGAGCCTGTGTTAAATTAAATTGTCTTCATTAAACCGATCTTCAGCAGAGCGCTCTGGGTTTTGATCTCTCTTTATTAATCTTTTCCATGTTTTCGTACATTCTCCGTATGGTTCAAGCACACAAACTGGTAAAGGAACACACATAATATTTTCTTTCAGTACCATTCACAGTATCCTGAACTCGTCCACATCCATAATTTCAGAACAGACCGTCGTTTTTTGTTTGTGTTGGAAAAGGATTTGTGATTGATTCAGTTTGTTTTGGCCCTCTGTTCCAGTTTTTTGTTGGACCTATAGAAGAGCAGCAGCAGCTCAGGTTGTTTGCTTTGGCAGGTCAGATGTGTGTGAGTGTGTGTGTGAGTGTGTGTGTAATACACACCAGCTGGGCTGGAGATGGTGACGATGCGTCCTTTAGCTTGTCGTATGAGCGGCAGGAAGCACTTGGTGACGCACAGCGTGCCGAAGAAGTTGACCTCCATGCAGCCACGGAAGTTGGACATGAGCGACAGCTCTGCGTCTCCGAAGTTCACACACACACCGGCGTTGTTGACCAAACCCCACAGACCTGCAGACACACACAGACACACACAGACACACACAAACACACACAGGTCAGAAATGATCAGTTAAAACATTTTTAACTGGAGAATAATGCTAAAAGATTGTTGCTGAAAGCTGCTGAAGAAGCAGCTAAATTTAGCTGAATATCTTTAGAAATGATTCAGCTGAAGGTGAAAGAACTTATTTCAGCACAAATCAAATGAAATTASTGGAAAAGTAATTAAAACAGGCTAAAAGTAGCTAAAATCACTTAAAAGAAGCTAAAGGTTGCAAAAAAAAGTTGAAATTAGCAGACAGTGAAAAATGTGTAAAACATTTTAAATGAGCAGAAAAACCAAGAAAAGGTTTACAAAAAGTTAGAATATGTTGAAAAAACAGCTAAAATTAGCCAAAATAGAAAAATAAAACTGAAAAAGTTAAAATTCAGAAACAGATGCTTTAGGAGCATACAGTATCTTTGCTGAATCAAGCAGTAAGTAGTTAAAATGATCACAATAAATCTAGCTGAAAAACAGCTGAAATCACCTGAAAAGAAGGTAAAAACACAGAAAACAGCTGAAAGTTACAAGAAATTAGAAAAAAGAAAATTAAAAGTTGAAACTAGCAGAAAGATAGTTTTAAAAGCAGAAAATTTAAAATCAGCGAAATATAACCTGAAGGAAAGTGAAACTACTAAACAGAGAAAGAACTGAACCAGAAAAAAATGATAAAAGTTTCAGTAAATATTTATTAATTTTGAAAGGTTTAAGGATGTAGAATTCATTTAAAAAAGCTTAAATATCTCAAAAAGTATAAACTGCTGAACTCCTAAAAGTCGAAGCCGGAGTTCTGAAGGAGCTGAACTTTTTATAAATATAAATTGTTGACATAGAAGAAAAATTTAATAAGATTTGTACAAAAAAACATACGGAAGAAAAAACCCGTATAAATACAGTGATGTGGAAAAGTGTTCAACCACATATTGTGTTTGGTTTCATGTTTTTGTCACGCTTCAGATCAAYCTGATCAAACTCAAAGACAGTTTTGCAACTTGTGCAAAAGTAATTCTCTTTATTGCATCATAAATTACATGATTTTTGTGACAAAAGCAACAACAGAAGTATCTGTGTTGTTTTCCTCAGCTCTATCTGCATCGGCAGGAAAAGTGCTTTTATTTGTGACGGAATAAGAAGGTTCCTTCCAGAACTCGGAGTTCATTTCCCGCTGTCCTTCGGTGGTGAGGCTGTGGAGAGTCCGTCACCGTGGGACTCGTCAGATTTATGTGTTGGCTTCACGTGTTGAAACCTGCTGAAGCTCTCAGAGGGTTTACATAACATCTGCAGCTTCACTCAGCAGATAAGGCCTGACTCACATCAGCAGCAGGCTCAGTCTRGAACCAGAGGTTAACCCTCCCTCTCCTGTCTGCCAGTGTAAACACGCCTCGCTCGCCCTCGTCCCCGCTCGGAGGTGACTGACCCAGAATTCCACTCTTTGTTTTGGTTCGCGGTGAGGAACGTGTTCAGGTTCGAGCTGGTGACTGATAACCCAGAGAACGAGATGTAAACACCTCAGACAGATCGCCCAGGTGTGAAGCTTCCATCGTGCAGAAGATAAATGTCTGAGCCCCCCTGACCCTCCACATCTGACCAAGAACTAACATTTCACAGTTGTTGCACAAGAAAAGTGCAGTTTCTTTTCGTCTACTGAGGAGTTCACAATCAAGCAATGAGCCCTCCACCACCGTGCTGACAGCTTCCAAACAAGACATGCTTAGTCAGCATTTTTCTAACCATCCTGTCATGGACTTTAACCTTTCAGATCACTGAGCTGTCACTGATGGAGCCTGTTTGGTGACTCTGATGTGTGAGAAATTACAGATTTTCTATTTATTTCTAAGTTTTTGTGACCAAATGAYCAGAAATCTGAATGACCAGACATTGAAAATCAAATGATTTTATGTTAAACAGTCTTCCTTTCATAATACTGTCGCCTGATTATGAAAAAATAACACAAACCAGGTGTTTGATTATACATTTATCCCTGAATCTGTTTTGGCACTCATACCRTGCCACAGGACCAAAATTAAGACTATTGYGCAATTAGCACAATTGTGCATTAGCGTCAAAGTGGCTAACAGCTAGCACGGATAAATTGGCATTAGCATCGGAGTGGCTAGCAACTAGCATGGATAAACTGGCATTAGCATCGGAGTGGCTAGCAACTAGCATGGATAAACTGGCATTAGCATCGGAGTGGCTAGCAACTAGCATGGATAAACTGGCATTAGCATCGGAGAGGCTAGCAACTAGCATGGATAAACTGGCATTAGCATCGGAGTGGCTAGCAACTAGCATGGATAAA